GAATCTTTACATGGACCAAGAGGCAGTTGTTCGAACAGAACATGGGGGCATTGAATGGTTTAAAATTAAGAAAAGTGTGTGATAGGGTTGTATTCTTTCACCATACTTACTCAACATGTATGCTGAGCAAATCATCTGAGAAACTGAGTTATGTGAAGAGAAACGTGGCATCAGGATTAGAGAAAGACTCATTACAACATATGATATGCAGATGATACAACCTTGCTTACTGAAAGTGAAGAGGACTTAAAACATTTACTAATCAAGACCAAAGAGCACAGCTTTCAGTATGGATTACATCTCAAAAGTAAAGAAAACAAAAATCCTCACCACTGGACCAATCAACAGGCTTAGCCTAGACCTAGCCATAGTTTAATCCTCACTCCTTTTTTCCTATCTACCCCTCCCCCACAAAAACCAACTTGGTTTCTTTCCCTTTCTGCAGGGAAATGGTAAATGATAGTTCAAATATATATATGTGTATATATATATATATTTTTTTAAACAAAATCTTAAAACCATAGGATCTTAAAACAGATCTTAAGAGCTCATTCAGTTGTACTTTCTACATGAATCTTTTCTGTAAGATATCAGACAAATAGCTATTCAGCCTGTTTGAAGACTTCTAATGATAGGAAGCTTACTGACTACTTTATGCAGAAGCCCATTCCATTTTAAGAAAGGTCTAATTTTTCAAGTTCTCTTCATAAAGACCTGAAATTTAGTTCCCTGTAATTTTCTCTGACCTTATTCTCTTCTCCAAAGTCAAATACTTTTACATAACATTTAGGTTTTTGAAGATGGTTGTCAAATTTCCCTAAAAAAAGAAACTATTTTTCTCTATGTCACAGTTTCGGTCTCTATCTTGGCCACCATACTTCTGCGTAGTCTCTAGTTCTTCAGGGTCACACTTCGTGCTTCCTAGTGTTGCTCTAACAAAAATCCTACAAGCTTTAAAAACCAGAAAAGTGGTTCTCACAGTTCAGAAGTCTAGAAGTCAGAATTCAGGACCTTGCTCTAGGGAAAGGCTTTCTGTTGGTTGGGGAGGGGTGGGGACAATCATTATCTTTTCCAGCATTCCTGTTGTTTGGGTGTCTTCACATGGTGCAGCGTCTGTCTTCCAGTTTGTGCTTGCGTTTCGGTTTGTGTGTTGCCTCTTGAGCCCTGGTGTGGTGCTGTAGGCAGGCCTGCAGCACTGGACTGTTAACCACAAGATTAGTGACTCAAATCCACCACCACCTGATCTTGGAAACCCTATACAGGGTCTCTATGAGTGATAACTAACTTACTGACAACAATAGCATGCTGCTTCTTATATCATGCAAAAGTGATTAGGTTTAAGGAACACAATACATAGATTGGGCCTCATTGGCATAACATAACCACTCTATTTCCAAACAAGATTACACCCATATATATATATATGGGTTAGGAGGCCAACACATATTTTCTTTCTTGCAGGGAGGGGGTATACTTCAATCCAGAACACTGCTTAATCTGAGATTCCTGGACTGAAATTGTTAATGTGCTGTGGAATCCGGTCCAACTCATAGCAACCCTGCACAGGGTTTCCGAGGCTGTAAATCTTTTCGGGAGCAAAAGCCTCATCTTTCTCCTGCGGAACAGCTGGTAGTTTCGAACTTCTGTCCCTGAGGTTCACAGCCCAGTTCGTAACCACTACACTACCAGAGCTCCTTTTGGATTGAAATTAGAAAGGTTATAACATTAGAAAATCTGTCTCCAATTCCCTTACAAACATGATTTAGAGCAAGTTATTTCCAGGATATCCCCATTAGAATAAATATGATAATTGCTAATTTACAAGGCAGATTGTCATCAAAATAATATATGTGAAAGGTAGTGCTAATGTTACCATTCTTATAAATGTTAGTGATTAATATTAACATTTCAGTAAGTACAAGCACAGCATTTAGTGCCCAGTTTTGATACATAGGAAGTGTGACAGGCAAATTACTTCTCTCAGCCTCAGTTATAAAATGGATGTGCTAATAACCCTCACTCCACAGACTTAATAAAGCATGCATAAGATTTAGTTTAGAGACTGGTGCACTCAGTAAATTATGTATATATTTATAAACTCACAAATGTAAGAAAACAGTCATCATCATGTATATATACATATATATACATGGTG